CGGAAGGGAGCGGGGGGAGGTAAAAATCGTCCAAAAAAGCGTGGCGTCATTTATGGATGACCCCAGGACAACCTCAATATCCTATTAGCTAGAATAGTTTGCCCCATCCTATTTTTTAAGCTATTGTTATAACCATCACCTAGGTGTGAGCAATACTAAAATTTAGTCAATGCTATAAATTGATTATATTTCTTTGAGCTCGAGATTATTGAACTTTTTGGGGGTACCAACCCCACCAGTTTCATAAGCGCATTTACCGAACCCTTCTTATTAGTTCTATCGTCTGCAATGGTAAAATACTATCGCGAATTATAGTCGGGTGTGTGTCTTGGTCTCCGTCGAACCACCGAGACTGACTCACCGAACCCCTAGGGTTTGATCGAACCCAGGTTGAGAACCACTGTTATAGCTCAACAGTTTTTGTTTAGTTAACCAAAATTGTTTTTTTCCAAATAAATATAAATTTACGGAGCAACTCTAAAAAAATAAAAAATCTACCAAGCCAAATGAGACATCGTCTGGTAAATTCTATCGAATCACAAAATATTCAGTCAAAAGCCCAAGGGTTAAGGAAAAACTTGAACTCATTAAAACTGCAATTAAAACGAAACAAAACTTGACCGGGGTACTGTGTACATACTCTCATGACCAAGAACAACAGCTTATTGACAGGGGAAGCTATCCGTCATAAAAGTCTAGTCATCTCAGGGCTGCAATGTTGAAGAAGGCCTAGGTCGCGACACTTTGTTTTAAGCCTGTATGGGTCGTCTGATAAGTTTCCTCTGTGATGGGTGCTTAATCATGATTTATGGGGCTGTTAAAAACTAGCGCCTGTCTTCTTTTTATCCCCGGAACAAAAGTTATAATTTCTGAGATATAGAGCCATCTCCAAAATATGGGTTTTTGTTTAGTCGTCTTGTTTATAAGCGAATCGTTGTGATAAGAAAGTTAAATTAGGTGAAGTTAGTTTTTTTACGAGTTGGGTCAATTTGACTTTATTGAATGGGGGTGGTGGGGGGAGGGGGGGTGAAGTTTTGGGGTGGGGGGTATGTAGTGTTAGGGTAGAGGTGTGAAGTACTGTTGGGGTGGGTAACGTGTAACTTGACCCCCATCACCTCCCAGTGGTAAACCTCCTATAAAAGCCCAGCTCAGCTGTTGTTGTTGTTAGAATAGACGTCCTTGTTGCAACAATAACAATTATATTTCTCACTGCAGCGTTTCAAGCAAATATTTCCATTACATCTGTAAGTATATTAGTTTATTACATACTTTAAGTGAGTTATTTAGTCACATCTGTAAGTAAATATTTGGTTACATATGTATGTAGATTATTTGGTTACATCTGTAAGTAGATTATTTGGTTACACCTGTGAGTAGATTCTTCAGTTTAAAGAAATACATCTAATGATCTATTCTAAGTGGAGACATTAATGTGTGCTAAACACAAGCAGCTTTCTTTGCTTTGTATTCACGGTCATACATCATGTAGTATGTGCTTTTATAACTGATTCTAGCGTGAGATTGTTGGAAAATTCTATGGATTTATTGGAAAGATGTGATTTTTCCCCTTTTATTTTATTTTAAGGCGGGTTCTATAAGTCTACATCTTTCTTAATTAAATTTAATGATAATCTATGTTGTAGTTCTTCACCTCTGCTTGGATTAATTAGATAGCCTACTCTTATGTTGGAGTTCGCGTGTACTTGGATTAATTAATTAGATAATCCTGGAGTCAAACGTGAAGACACGTTATTCAAACTTTTGACTGGATAGTTGAACACGATAATCCTTCAGTGGACAACCCCCCCCCCCTTTACTTGAACATGATAATCCATCTGTAGACAGCCATCCCCCCCCCCCCCCCATTACTATGACCCACCAACATCGGATATTACCGATACTTTGAAGTTTAAGAAAAGTTTTACTTTCTAAGAATCTTGAGATGAATCGATTGACTGGATGAATGGATTGGATTATGTCTAGATCGATGTCTTTTATGGCAGCCTCACTCGTGGCTTTTAGCGTGACGTCACCTGCAGTTATTTTTGGTAACACCACCGAGGTGGGTTGGGGGGAGTAGATCGGTATATGTAAATATGTGGAGAGGATAAGTTCAGGAGGTTATGTGATGGAGGTGGACAATGTATTCAGGTTTCATTCACATTTTATTTTGGTTGAATGGCGGGGTATAATTCACAAAACTATATTTATTTATATGATTGTAATGCCACTTTTATTTAATTAATATCTATATACTTCTAAAATTCACAAGCTTGTGGACTATGTTTATTTATTGGTTTGTTTGTCGGTATCGCTAGATCAGAGCTTAGGCAATGTGTGTAGAACTTTAAAATATGAGTTTATGAAGAGAAAAATGTTTTTTTTTCTCCAAAATATCTAATGTTATACAAATATTTATTTTTAAAAATTAAATAAACTAATTAGAACTATAGTAATATTTTATAACACACACTTAAAATTACACAACTTGAGAATAAATACTTTAATTTTCACAAGATGGCTTCCAAGGAAACAGGTAATGTTGCCCATGGAAAAGTTTAATGCATAATGCATCATATTTTCTAAATAGATTATCTATATATATAATTCTCTTCTGGGAGACGCTAGAAAGCAAGATGTAAGCGCGCTCCCTACCACCCCACCCCTACATGGTCTGGTGAGCTTTGGTTCACGCAAAATGTTTACATTCGTGGAGCCGGGTTTACTGACGGCTATTAGGGGCAGATAATTTAGTTTGAAACGATTTTAAACTTATGGGAGGTAACTAAGAGGAGGCTGCTTTCACGGGGGAAGGGGGGGGGTGTAGGGTAGGGGTTGGGGGAAAGGAGGGTGGGGGTAGGGGTTGGGGGAAAGGAGGGTGGGGGTAGTATCGTTCTTAATGACCTACTGATAGTGTTTTAAAGCAAATATTTTCAGTGGCAGCATTGGTACTGTCGAATTCACAAATTATGAATTACTGAAAAGTAGAAAATAAACAACTAAATAGCGGCATATGATATGCCGCGGGTCGGCTCGTTTACTTATATAGAATGTACATAACTACCTTAGCACAAGTCCCTCTTGTAATATAATTAAAAACTAAGATATTGTGACGAAATGTGGAGGGGGTGGGGGGAGGATTAAAAATTGACTAAAAACGCAACGTTTTTTTTTTACCAAAAACACACTGCAATTAAAAAAAAACAATTACGTGTAACGGGTAGTAAATAATACAGATACACACCCCGTCTAAGTTATGACTGCTTTGTTAATATTCAAATGCAATAAAATACTAACTAAATACTTCCTTAATATTAAATTAATAATAAAATGGTTTCGAATACTGCTTGTTTTGTATAAAATAAGTTATGTATTGTAGAATTTTTACGATTAGATTTGCACTTGGATGAGATTTTTTTAAAGTGATGTTGGTAGTAAACATGTTATGATTCTTTCTTCGTCTCCTAACTGTTGGTCGGCTGATAACTCAAGAAGTCTGTTATCTCCGAGTATTTAATAAAACCACTTGTCAGGTCGCGGCATAATCTGGGTCTAGAGAGTATAAAGGCGGGGGTAGTTCTTTGTTGATTCTAATTTACAAGGAAATAATTGTATGGTGAACTGTGGCTGTTTTTATGGCACGTAGAGCAATTCGAATTTAAACCATCATTTTGCGGTACCGGTACAAGTATTAATGTAAGGGAGGTAATTTATTTCGAATGCTGGGTTTTTAAATAGTGTTTTACACCAGTTATGTCCCCTTTTTAGTCGCCGATGTTTCGGAACACATCAATCGATAAGGAGTGGGCACAGATCTACGAAAACCATTCATTTATTGTCGTCCAATATAGACTACAATCATCATACCAAAATATTAATTCTGCAGGCCTTTTTAACAATTAAAAAATATTTTTGTTTGTGCCTCACAATAATTTTAAAAAAAAATCTGTTTTAGTTATAATAATATTTCATCATCAAAGCTTTTAGACACGTAGATCTAGTTATAATAAACTAAAACACAAGCAATGTATTATTATGTTTCTCTAGCCTACTCTAACTCTAGGCCTATCCTAGTTTTGTTTTGAGTGGGGGGTTTAATAAAAATAGATACATATTTATTTAGTTAAGTCTTTTTGTATAATATAATTAGATAATTATTAATACTTTATATGCCATAGGCCTATTATAAGTAGATCTAGAATTCTCTAGATCTAGATATATTTAATTAAGATTAGAATTTAGTTTAACTCACTACAGTTACAGTCACTGTCGACCTAGACTAGATTCTAATACTATTATTATAATAATAGATCTAGATCCTCCTACCTAGACCTAGAGATTCTAATTCTACTACTTTAGAGATTACTAGATTTAGAGAATGATCTAGATTCTAGATCTAGAAATCTAGCTGAAATCTAGACTAGATCTAGATCTTTTCTCTGGGGTCTAGAGTGGAGTCTAGACTCTAGATCTAATCTAGATTTAGTTGTAGATCTAGACTAGATCTAGATTAAACTATAAAATGAAAAACATTGTAATAATTTGAAATAGTGAGACAAATTTTAATTTTAAGTAGAAAATTTTATTTGTAAAAAAACTGTAATACAAAGATTGTAAACAGTGAAAACAAAACGAATGCTTTCTTTTGTAAACAAAAACGATGCTTTCTTTTGAACATTGGCCTAAAAAATGTAAACAAAACCCCGAAAGATTTAAAAAACTAATTGAAAAAATACAGCGAAAAACGAAATACAAAGAGCACGTTGTCCCACAGTAGGCCTACTACAAGGAATATTACACAATTTACGCATCGTCGTTGGTGAGTGATTGTTTATCTTTTACAAAAACAAAATATATAACTAAATAAATATGTATAGATCTTATTATGTTCTTATTAGTCTAGTTTTTAAATTATTAATTGTAGACACTACCCCTACTCTCTAGCCGAGTGTTGAAAAAAGCGCGAATGTTTTTCGACTTCTTATTTTTTAGTTCCTTAGTTGGTGATCTGGTCTATTATGCAATTTGTTCAGCAATTTCTGTGTTTATTAAAGTCTTAACGGATTACACTACTAAGTATTTCCATATGCTTTTGTACAAAATCGTGACATCAAGGTAAGCCAGTTAGTAGAAATTATCGCTAGTGTGTTGTTAATAATAAAGGGCAAAGGCCTACTTTACTGAACTGGATCCATAGCGGCATAGGGCATAGGCTGCTATTGGACTAATAAAGTAATAATAATAAATAATTTAATATTAAAATTGTGGGCCTTTAGGAGGATTACATTTTGAAGCTTTAGACCTGTCAAATAATTTGTTTGTATCTAGAAAATCTAGATCAAGAAGGCTGGTTCTAATAGTTTTCAATCATTAGGATCTCTAAAGCTACACATGCGTGTCCTGGTGATGAAACCTAGCCTAGAGTATCGCATGGTATAACACCGGTCGATTCTGTGGTAACAAGTTGAACATGCGGTTCTAATCAGTTCAATAATTTAGGCCCGTAATGTATCTTTTTATTATGTAGTAACATTAGCCTATTGATTTTTATTAACCTCCATGCCTGCAAACCCCCCTCCCTCAGTCTTTCTTAGGCTAGATCTAGATTCTAGATCTAAATAAATGTTGAAATGATAAAACAAAAATGCGAATGCAGAATAAGGCGGTTGTTGCCATGAGTGAAGCACGAGTGAACAAAAATTCTGTGTACTAGGCCTAGCCTACTTCGCACTGGGTTTAAAATAAAAAAAAAAAATAACTTGCCCGCTTAAAAAAATATTGCAGTGTGTTGCCTCTTTATGTAAATAGCACTTAGGGGGGGGGGGGGGTAGATTCTAATAGGTCTACCTGTCTACGGTATTGTTGATATGCTGTGTTGTCAACATTTACTAAATGTTGACAACACAGCATATGTCATTTAGTATTAAAAAAATACATGTGCGTTTATTAATCAGCTAAAGATGAATGCTGATCAAAAGTGGATCTAGATCTTGTCTTTTTAGTAGAATTTTAGTTTAACATTCTAGGCTATGCTTTATTATTAATTTAATAAGTCAACAACTAGATCTAATTATTAGGGCTTACTGGTGATGTAATTGCCATTGTGGTATGACTGATTAAACATTATTAAAAACTTTGCTCCGTTCTAGGCCTAGCTCTGGCTTGACAACAAAGACTCATAATTACGTCATATAACTAGGGACTGTTGACGATCGTTTGGAAAAGGAGGGTTATGAAATGAGACGTTTAATACATTCTGTTATTTTAAAATAAACAGGAAAATCATTTCATTAACAATAAGATGGGGGGGGGGGGGGGGAGAAGGGGGTTTGACCTTGGTGACCTAATTTTAGGTTGGGGAAGAGGAAACTAGTTGTTAGGGGGTTAAGAAAATCAGCATGACGTCATATACGGGCGATTACCTTTGATTAATTTTTACTGCTTCTTGTTCGCGCCTAATTAAGTTGATTTGGTTTTTGCCATTCTCTGTCATATCCACGAAATAGCTTGTCAAGTCAGGATCTGTAGGCTAACCCAAACCCGATCTAAAAGTAATAGGTATTGTTGTTACTGACGATTGTAACCAATTAGCGTGTTGGGTTTCACTATTTACATTAAGGTCACACAGCATAGCCGTGCGGTAATTTGACCGTACCCTATTTCATTTCGACTTAGCCTAGACTCTCGTACTAGATTCTAGATCCATTACATCACGGTAAAAAAAAACCCGGCCTCTTTGGTGAGTTAACTTAAAACGTTAAAAAAAGTAGCGACATTTTCAAACATATAGGCCTAATAGTTTTTATTTTCTATCTGATGATAGTACTTGTTATTGCTATAGAGAGATCTAATTTTTTTTTTATTATCGGTGGCTTGTCATAATTTGTTTACATTTTACACACAAAGGTGTATAGGTCTATCATCGACCACGTCTAGACTGCAGTAAAGTGTTTTGTATAGCCGTGTTTTTTTGTTGTTGCTATTGGTTATTATAATGATCGAAAGAGCCCTTAGACCCACGCGGCGTACGGGGGTTACACAATTACATGCTATTTGTCTAGCCGAGTAAACATTTGCCTAGTCTGTAGATCTCAAATCCTTTCTAATCCCTCTGTAATTTAAACAAATGTTTTCCCAGGCGATAAAAAAACGTGCAATTATTTTAATGTTTTCTTTGATTAGGAGACTTATCTAGAGTATCTTGTATGTGAAGAGGGGGGGGGGATTTTCTGAGGATTTTATCTCTAAAAGAAATAGATTAGATTACCATCTTAACCCCACCCTCCACCTCCCACCCTCCACATCCTGGCCTGGGTTTTCTTCGATCGATTCGTTGCAGCACCCGGTGACATTTCTCCATGACGTCATTTCCTGGGTTTGTGATTGAACTCCCATGACGCGACGCAACATGAGTTTGTTCCTTGGTATCTACCTTAATTGATAACACCATCTTTTTTCTCCACAAGGGGCGATAATAACTCGTAGATGAGCCGGGCCCATCCGGAGTTGTCTGAATTGGAGTCTGTACTTGTGGTCCCACTTGGTGGTTGATTCTGTTTTTGGGTACACTTGCACTGGCGAAACACAACACGCATTAGCAATGCTGGTTCCTTTGTTGTGCCTGATGTTCCTTGGTTGCTATTGGGTTAAACATTTTTTTTTGCTGGATACATTTATTGACATGAATCAGGAGGGGAAGGGGTGGGGGGGGGGGGGCGTGCTAGAATATGCATAGCCAGCCAACTGTTGGTATCGATTTTTGCTCCCTTTGTTACCAGAGCCAGCTTCCGGACACGGTGTTTGACTGCTCGGAGCTCGGCTATGTGGGATTCCACTACTCGGAGTTCGACTATGTGGAATTCCACTGCTCGGAGCCTAAGATACGTGGAACAGCGCGCGTGCGTTTCACGTGCTGGTTTGTCTTTGTGTAAGGTCACGTGTATGATCTCGCTCAAGATTTTATCCATTGTTCGATTGGAATTGATTGTATCCATTGTTCTATTAGAATTGATTGATTGCTAGTCGATGATTTTGTACATGGAGGTTGTTGTCGTTGCGGTGGACTGGACTAATCCACCCCACTTGTTTGATTGGATAGCTCTTGTTAGTGACGGCTATGGTAATGTGTGACCACGAGCTTCCATTTATATATAAAGTCATCACAGCCGTAGTGTTAGTGCTTGCAAGTTATTTTTTATCTTTAGTTGGTTTAAGGACATTGTATTATACGGGCTATAATCTATTCTAAAATGCAAGAATGCCACAGATGGGTTAGTTAGATGGGTTAGTTAGACTATTCTTAAGTTAGTACAAAAAAAATGTGTCCATACATGACACACACACAGATGGGGGGGGGGCAGAGGAGATGTTCAGAATTTCCTGACGGCGTGTTCAGTTAGGGGATGAGGGTGTTCAAGAAGTGTGAAGTAGAATGTCTTTCGTATTTTTTTATCAAGTTTTTAATCATAATTCTTTCATTGGGGGAGGGAGTGGGGCGGGTGGATGTGTCTGCCTCCTTGAACGACGGATGACAATACGGGGGAGTGGATAAACCAGGCTAAAATTGTGTGACGTCATTTATTAAAGCCCCTCCCCCCACCTCCCCCTTTACGCTTGTGACTGACTTAAGACTTAAACGATGAGAAAAGTTTCGGCCAGTTGTTGATGGGCCGGGGCACCGCCCCCTAGATCTGACACAACACAAGGCTGAACCGCTGGGCGGAAGTTGATTTCCTTCAGTGTCAAAGGTCATGCGCATATTTTGTTGATCCCCCTGGTGACGTATGTGTCCCGGGAGTACTTAAGACAACCCTGATTGATTGTCCAGCTAACGGGGGGGGGGGGGGGGGGCAGTGTAGTTAAAGCAATATCAATGCATTTAGTATCTTTACCTGGTGTTCGTTAACTTGATTTGATGATGGAGCTATTAATTATAACTTTAGAGTTTAACAAGCTCTGTTAATTATAGTTTCATCTCTGACGTACTCTATTGTGATTGTTTTATTTTTTATTTGTTGTATATTGCGATTTGTATATTAAGTATATGACTGAACTAATAATTAGAGATAAACCCTTAATTTAGTATATCTCTCCCATATTATTGAACTAATAATTAGAGATAAACCCTTAATTTAGTATATCTTTCCCATATTATTGAACTAATAATTAGAGATTAACCCTTAATTTAGTATATCTTTCCCATATTATTGAACTAATAATTAGAGATAAACCCTTGATTTAGTATATCTCTCCCTTGGATTAAGTATCACCAATGGACGTTTTGTGATGTAATTTTTATATTTTATCACTCTCAATTGATTCTGAAATCAGTGAAATACCCATGTTCTCATTTCAAACCAACCTTTTCTAAACATGTTTTAGTAACGTTTTTTTTTTTTTGGCAAGTTGAAGAAAATATTTTTAAGTGGCCACATTATTTTCTCACCCCCCCCCCCCCCTCCCACTTTGTGACGCAGGTATGGGCGTACCTCATTCACCGTTGGCAGCTCACCAGGTAGTCCAACCGTTGATGGTCATGCTTGGTGAACTGGTAGGGGAATGGTTAAGGGATGTTAGCAGTCACTCCCGTAGTCAGCGTGTTAACGGTCATGGTCATAGTTAAGATGTTGACAGTAAAGAGACGTAAATAACTACATCAGCTAAACTGCAATGACACTTTGTAACCCATACGACGCCTAATACAACATTTCTAAGATCATCACATGGTTTGAGGAATGATATTTGCATTATTAATTTATAATCCTCAGTGTTAAATATGACATTGGCTCCTTATTTATAATCCTTAGTGTTAAATCTGACATTGGCTCTGTTTATTTCTTACTTTCAAAATGCTTCTTTGTTAAATACTGTGAGCGTAGTCAATTTATCTTTAAAGCGACTTGTCTCCGTTGTCATCATCACTGGAATAAACAGTCCGTGTTTTGTCTTGTTTTATTTTTATGGAAACCATAGAGACAGATATGAACAACTATATTGGTACCACTTGTAAGGAGATCGTAATAGGGATCAGTGAGGGGCGGGGTCGGTAGTGTGGTGAAGATCGTAGACTCTTCAGTAAGGAGCCACCAGAAAGTGCCAGACTTAATGCCAGCACT